ATTTTACGGGCATTTAAATTCCATATTTTTAAAACTAATAAGCTATATTCAATAAAATTGAATGAGCTTGAACATGAATAAAAGAAAAATGAATTCCATACACTGGAAAAAAATTATTTGAGTTTCTTAATGTAGCAAAATCCATCCCTGTATGACGATTCGTGAAAGATACTGATTTTATCAAAGTTATAAATGTTCTGGTAAATGTAACTTCTATAAGTTTAGTGTAGGTAGTGGACATTTTCCTAGATAACCGCAAAGCACCAAATTATGAAAAACATTTCCAAGATACAAATGACATTAAGAACATTTCAGTTGCATATTTTCTGATTTTTGTAAAAAAAAAGAAAATAAAGATTTAAAAATATACGAGAGAAAATCCTGAAAAATAAGATAGTGTCATGAATTGTAAGCAGTATGCAAAACCGATCTTATAGTATATCTAGGGCAACAAAACCACTGGAGACTAGCGTAATCTATGCCAAATTTCGTCATATTTTAAAAAAATAAAAATCCATTGAAGAAATTGATATGAAAGAACTGTTAATAACTAAAGTAATATATATTTTATTTGAAAAATAACACATCTTATAATTTATCGTTCTTTACTTTACTCTAAAAAGTTAATTTATTAAGTAGAAAAATGAGAATGAATTAACAAAACGATTTTAAGCCCTAATCATTTCCCATATATTAACACAATGGAAAGTTACGCTATTAGTATTTTCAGTTGTTTATTACCAAGATTACCCCGCTCAACCTTTTTTAAGAAGCTTTCAGTTACGGATACTAGTGTCATGTTCTAAAGGTTTGAGTGACACACTCAGATTGACTAGGCCTAGTGATGAAACGACTAAGTAAAAACTTATTGATTCGACAAATAAAACTCGTAGCTGAACTTATAATATAAGAAAAGAAATTTATAAATATAAAGAAGTTAATGAAAACAATTGCATGTGTTAGTATTAATACCGTCTAACACCCTCCTGCAAGCACTGTGTTGACATTTCAATACTTTCTTAAAAATAATACATCCGACCAAAACCCTGTAGAATAAGAGCTTTGTTATAAACGAACGAACTACACCAGCCCAAACGTATTAATCATTAATATAATCTTGTATTAATTATACCGTTTTTATGAAACGAGTTTAATGCAGAAGTATACATCTCTTATATTACTAGTATTTGCAAGAAAACGACGATACGTTTTTCTAACAATAAATTATATTTCTTAAGTAAAATAATAATAATAAACATAAAATAAGTACATGTTTGAACTAATTAATTGAAACCAAGTGAACTTTATTTTTATTAAAATGTAATGGTAAAATCACTGTCTTTTTAAACAGTTTTTTTTTGTTATACCTTCATGGTTTTGTATATTAGCACTCACAGAT